CGGGAAGGGAACAGGGGGGTGAGAGGGGACAATGGCGGCGCGCTGATGGGAGATGGGGCGGTGCGAAAACCACACCCAGCGTGCGCCCGTCAACAGCGCACCAAGCCCCAGCCCTGCTCATCCCCAGCGCACATCATCCCTGCCCATCGCGCCCGTGCGGCCGCTCCCAACCCTCCGCGCCGTCACCGCTGCCGCCCCCCCCCCCCCACCTGGTAAGCCACGACCTCCTCCAGCACGAGCTGGCGCCGGTAGTTGTTGTCCAGCAGGGGGGTGGGGCAGTAGTCAAACAGCACCTGGGCCCGCAGGCAGGGAGCGGAGGGGGGCTTCGGCTGACTGTTAGGGTGGGTGGGAGGGCCAAGGACCTGAGTTGGGCCGGGATGCCAGGGGGGCCGATGAACACGGGGGCAGGGGCGGCGCGCGGCCTGTAACGCAGCGTGGGGCGTTCGTGCGGCGCCAAGCAGCGGCCCCGACACACATAGCCGCGCGCTGGCGCAGCTCGAGGGCAGCCCGCCACTCCTGCTCCTGCGTCCCTGAGCCAGCCCCCTGCCCGTCGCCCCTCCTCCCCCCCCTGCCTTGCCTTTTGGGCGTAGCTGGTGCCAGCGTACTGGTCCGCAAGAATGTTATAGCTCATAACCCTGAACGCCGGCGCCGCGGCTGGCGCCGGCGCCGCGAGCTGCCGTGCACGCGCCGCGGGCACCGCCGGTCCCGCGCGCACGGGGCCGCAGTCCGCCGACACCGGCTCCCCCAGCGCCGCCGCTCCGCCGCCGCCATTGCCGCCGCCGCCGCCGCCGTCGCGGGCGGGCGTGCACTCCACACGCAACATGCAGCCCTCGTCCTCCTCCGCCGGCGCGTAGCAGGCGCCGCCGCCGCCAACGCCGCCCACCGGCTCCCAGTCCCCGCCCCCTGCGCGCCGCCGCAGCCAGCGCCAGCGGCAGGCGTCTGCATCTGCGAAGGCGAGCTGGGCGGCGGGCAGCAGCGGGTAGCCCACCAGGGGGAAGGCCTGCAGCGTCAGCGTCTCAACTGTTGGGGGGTTGATACACACCTCAAACAGGTCTGGGCCGACCCGCAGCAGGCTGCCCGCCAGCCACGCGTCTGCGTTGGCCGTCGACGGGTCGATCGCCCTGGGGGCGGGATGCGCGGCGCCGGAGGGGGGGTTGGGGAGGGGGTTCAAAGTCAGGAAAGTCTGTGGCCTCGGCGGGCTCGCTCAGCCCGGGCGCGCCCCTGGGCGGCCTCGGCATGCCGCGGGCCGCAAATGGGGCATGGCACGTCTGCGACGGCTGCTTGCCACCTGAATGTTCTTTCTCGCAAGTGAGCCCGGCTCCCCCTCGAAAGGCTGGTCCCGCCCACCTGGTGCCTTCGGCATCCTCGTACAGCTCAATGACGAGCGCCTCGGCCGCCGGCCGCTCCGCCTGCTGCTGCGTCTCCTCGGGCGGCGCGCCCTGCTGCCCCTTCTTGCGCTTCTGCTTCTTCTCGGCTGCGCGCCGGCGCAGGGGGGGGGGGTGCAGCAGCAGCAGGGGCGCAGCGGTGGTGAGGCAATGCAGTGCACGACGTGGCGCACCCCCACAATTGATTGGACGCAGTCCAGCCGCAGGTCGGCAATCTGCAGGAAACTCGGAAGGGCACCGTGGATCTGCTACTGGTATTGCCTGTGCCCGTTTCTGCGGCGCTCACGCGGCGCGACGCTGGCTCGGATCCGCGCCAGCGGCTTTTCCAGGGCCTCGGCCTTGGGCCTGTAAGGACGGTCGGTGTGAGGCATACGCAGGTCCGCAAGTGTTGCTGGAACTGTGAGCTTCAACGTGAAGCAGCAGCAGCAGCAGCAGCAGCAGCAGCAGCAGCAGCAGCAGCAGCAGCAGCAGCAGCAGCAGCAGCAGCAGCGGCGGCAGCAGCAGTGGCGGCGGCAGCAGCAGCACCGGCAGCACACCAGTGCTCAATTTGTTTTTCGAATAAACCCTTGCCTATTCAGGTGGCGTTGCCGCCCAGCCAGTGTCAGAGAGACAGTAAGATTTTCCTCCTCCGGCTTGCATCGCACGTACGCCTGAGCCACAGCAAGTTGCAGTGCGGCAGTGGGAAGGAGGTGTGCACCAGCTGACCAGCAGCTGCAAGCAGCAGCTAGCACCGACCACAGCGGCGCGCAGCGCAACCTGGCTGCCAGCTCTCTAGTGAGCGTTAAGATATCAAATTCCAGCTCGGGGATTTTCTCGTCTTCTCAACATAAATGTGCCGCGCGCACACCTTTTGCATTGTGACCGTGGGCTGCGCTACCGATGCGGACGCAGTAGCTCTTGTAATCAGATGTAAATGACGTTTAGATGCAAACTGATACGATCTGAGCGCCAGCATCATTGCCTTTCAATGCTCAGATCGTGCTTCTACCGTTGCAGGACATATCATTGGTGTCAATACTTATATTAAGCATAGAATATCACTTCATGGTCAATTGAGATGGCATGGCCGGCTGCAAATTGTCACCTGCCTTGCATTATCACCCGCTGACGCCGGTAGGGAGCACTGCAGAACGCTCACCCGCCCAGCAGGGTTCATGCAAGGCACGCCATTCCATGGTGCGTAGGGCTGCAAGGTGCCGTGTGCCACTTGCCGATGGGAAGCTACCATGCTGTTTGGTATCATGATAACTTGCTGGCTGCTCAGGCACTAGCCAGTTCGTTGACTGGCCCATGGTCCTTTCGAGCTGCTTGCGGTCGCTTTGCTCTAGATTCCTTGCTTGCACGGTATGTTGCGCGCATCAGCCTGAGTTTGAGAATACACAACCAAGCTAGCAGGAACCTGCAATGACGCAAAGCCAGCTTGGTCTACATTGTGCGCGCGTGCTGCGCTGTGCGATACGCCAAGGGTGTGCGGCGACGTCCAGATTCAATATCGGTGCGCTGTGGGTGGCATGTCAAGGTTCCGTTAGCAAGCTGAACACAGAGCTGACGAAAAAACTGCTGGTCCTCAGGGCACTTGCTGACGCCTCGTCTCCGAAGTTCAGGTTCCCATGCCGCACTTGGCGGTTACGACAGCAGGCCTGCTCGCAGAACAGAGGAGCAGATGTGCTGTCTTGGTTGACAGGTTGCCTTGGCGTTGTTTGCTGTCAACACGTGACACAGGCAAGTGCGCACATGACATGAACCTGCTCTATTACCAGCTACCTTTTTGAGTTACGAGAGTCAGATTTGGACCACCACCAGACACCTTGTGTGGAATGCCAGCGCTGGCGCGAGTGACAGCAGTACTGCAAGCGTCACCCATTGGGCACTCAGTAACGCCCGCGGTGTGCCCCTCTGCTTGATTCGCGCCCTGAGTCGCGTTATTAGTCTGTTAGGATCCGAATGAATTGTGCAAATTTTCGCTTCGTCTACTGCATCCTGGAGCACGACGACTGGATTGCGACCGAGCAGATCATGCAGCAGCCGTGATCAAGTTGTGACATTAGAGAAATATGATTGGAAGCTGCATCGTTCAGTCTCACGTGGAGGGACGAACGGGCTTGACGGGCAATTCCCACCACAGACGCCGCTGCGGGTTGCTAAAAGCAACGGCGTGCAGGCATGTAGTAAAGTCGTCGATTACTCCTCTTCTGCAGCCGCGCGCGCACCCATGCGTGCACGGTGCACCTGTGGCACCAAAGCGGCACCACTCGCTGCTGCGCCCCACCGCGCCGCGCCTGCCGCAATCGTTGTGCGCCACGGCAACCAGCGATGCGGCCGCGCCCTGGGAGCAAGACTGGAATGCAATGGGGCCCGCCTTCAAAGCTACGCTCGACCTGCTGCAGTGGCCGGCGTTTTGCGAGCACGTGGCGGACTTCGCGAGCACGTCGGTCGGCAAGCGGCTGTGCAGGCAGCTGGAGGTGCCCCTGGATCAGGCAGCCAGCGAGAGGTTGCTGGCCGAGACGCGGTGCGCAGGGCCTGACTGAGGCGGCGCCTTCTCACCCGCATCAGCTGTCGCGTGTGCTGCGCCGTGCCAAAAGCGGCGGGGCCGGTGGAATGCAAAAACTCCGGCCGGCCGCTAGCCTGCGCAACTCAACACTTCGTGCATTTGCGCACGCACGCACGCACATGTGCACATGCGCACGCTGACGCGCACAAAACGCCCGCACACCGAGCGCAGCGCGGTAATCACCCTGGAGCTCGATTACTCATCCACCCTTGATTTTGGCGGCATCAACACGGGCGACGCGGAGGGCGCGATCCGCCGCGCGGACAAGGGCGGCATGGTGTCTGGGCCGCAGCTGAGGGGCCTCGTCACGCTCATCAACGGTGGGCAGCGCAGGCTGGTGCCGTCGCGGGGCGCTGCGCCCAGGCAGCGGGCTGCGCTGGCGGCGCGGGTGGCGCTCTCCGACCGGCGACGCAGCTGTACGGGGCGCTGGTCATCTGGCGTGCGCGTTGATCTGTTTGGTGTTCATGCACATGTACTCAGCAGATGAAACCTGCTCCTCTTGCACTCCTGTGATCGCCGGCTGCCTGCGCAGGCGCCGACAAGCTTCGGAAGCAGATCCAGACCGTCGCCCGCCAGATGGGCGCCGGCGGGCGCGACAGCCCCCTGCGGCCGCTGCTCGCGGCCGTGGCGGGCCTGTCGCCGCCGGCCGCGCTGGTGCGGGACATCGGCTTTGCTATTGGCGAGGACGGGGAGGTCCAGGAGGCGGCCAGCGCACAGGTGATTTGCGGATGGAGGGGTGCGCGGTCGGGCCAACCAAACCTGCGTGGCAGCAGCAGTGCTTGCAAGGCGCCGTGTGGAGGGGTGCAGGGAGGGATGCGGCCGTGGTGGCGGCGGTGTCGCGCGCCTCGACAGCAGGAACGAGGTCCAGAGAGACTAGGCCTCATGTGCCTTTGGAACATGCTACCAGGACACGAGCCAACCTGGGTGTGGAAGGTGCCCCTGTTGCAAAGCTTAGCCCAGCGCAGCCCGGTCTTGCAGCGCCGGGTGCCCACCAGCTCGCACAGCTGCCACCGACGCCAGCGGGTGCCGACGGCGTCCCCGTTGCCCATCGCCCGAGCACCGACGCTCGCGGCCATTCCCTTGGCCCTCGCAGGTCCGCACGACCCGCGCCCGCGTGCGCGCCCTCACTGCGCGCGCCGCGTCGGTGCTCAAGTCATTCCCTGGGGAGGTGTCGGAGCGCGGCGGCCGCATGTGCGTCGCGGTTGCGCCCGGCACCAAGATCGCGGGCGGTGTCATGCTGGGGACGACCGTCGGCGGCGGCATGGCGTTCATCGAGCCGCCGCAGGTGGGGAATGGCGCGTGGCTGGGAGGCAGCGGGGCCGCAGCGGTTGGGTTGCGGCTGATTGCGGGGACGCATTTATATGAGGGGGCAGGCGGCAGGAGCAGGGTCGGGTTCTGATGCTGACGCACTTGCTTGAGTGATGCCTGCCCTGCAGCTGCATTCTGCGCACCTTGGGTCGATTCGTCCTCGCTCTCACAATGACAGCAGACCAACCTGACGCCCCTTTTTGTTCTCAAACACACCACACACCCCTGCCAACCGCCACCGCACCCCAATGAACCTCCGCCTCACCTCAACCAACCGTCGCCCTGACCCACCCCCTCCCCAACAATCCCCCCCCAACGACTCCCCCACCCCAATCGACCGCCACCCCAACC